TAAACATCCTGTTAGCCTACGATGTGATACTATATATATATTAGAGGCCAGTAGGAAATGTAAATTCGTTCTATATCATTTAAAATGCCACACTGTCAAAAGTAAACACAGTTGAATGCAAATACTGCACATTTGTGAGTTGTATTTTCCATCTATGCCAAATACACAACAGGAAGTAAATAAAACAGATGATCCCATTACAAAGTTACCTGATAAGTAATGCATTAGATCAGGAAGCAGGTAAACAGTAAGTTGGTTTTGGAAGAAGAAATGAGCAGGAGGAGGAGGAGGGTTCGAGCACTCCAAAAAGGCAGGTATTGTGGTGATGTCATGTTTTGTACTGGCACACAATGGCGCTAACGCTCTAAAAACTCTAACTTTAAAAACTTTCTTTTAATCCATCTTTTTTTTTTTTTTTTTGTAAATCCAGGCCTCTGTAGTGGAAATTAGCCTTAATTCATGTCTCAGCTCCACTTTAACTTGTTTAGCTAATTCTCTAACTACAGTGCATCAGACTATAGTTTGGAGTACACTCACCAGTTGTGGTCACAATCAGTGACCACAACACAATGCATAATGTTACAACATAATGCATACTATATCATTATACACCTCAGCCACTGTCTATGGATTGGGTGAATGCAAAATGTTGCAAGGTAATGCAAAATTAGTGGTGAAAAAAAGATGATGATTCCCACTGTTACCCTTTAGGGGCTCTATAAGCTTCTGCACAAAGACAGCTCTCTTAGCTGATAAAAGCTCAGCTAGACTCCAATCAGTCCATTAACTTTCAATATACATGTATGTTCAAAAATACACGTTTAAGTCTTTTTCTTACTCATTTGCTTACACACACACACACACACACACACACACACACACACACACACACACACACACACACACACACACACACACCTCTGGTATGAATGGCCCTTGGCCACAGGCAGAGTTTTCACAGTAAACTAACCTTGATCAATAACCTGCTATGGACCTCAGCAAAACCCGCTGTTCTCCCTACTGCTGGATTTCAATATCACGCCTGTTTGAACACTCTAGCCATGGGCCAACTGTGTGTGCGCATGTGTGTGCATGCACATGCGTATGTATGCATGTACTGCTGCCGCATGAATTTGCGCGAGCCTGCAAGCATGTGTGAATGTGTTTGTGGCCTCCTGTACGCTGTGTGTGCTTAAGGAATTCTCTGTGCATGAATTTGGTTGTGTGTGTTTTGGGCTGTGTGTTTGAGTGAAGCCTCGGGGTCCGCTGTGAACGGTGCTAACTGGCCCTCTGAACTCTTTCCTGTGAAGAGAAAGAGAAAGCCACTGGGCATGTGCAGAGGACAGCATGCCATTTACCTGGGCTACGGATGGTTTTTAAAACTGGCAAGAGGGACTTACACACACACGCGCGCACACACACACACACACACACACACACTGAAGATACTCCTGGCTTTTGCCTCAAACGCAAAAGCACACCTTTGCTCCCTCGCCTCAAACACAAACACACTTCAAAAGTTCTTTTTCTTTTTTTTTTCTTTTCTCCTTTTTTATTTTTGGAAGCGATGCAGCCAGTACTACCCCTGCGTTTAAAGAGCCTAACCGCTCTCTTCATGTGCCCTTCTCTCGCTTCCTGCCTCTGCAAAAAGGCCCCAACGCGCCAGAAAAACTTACTAGTTTACATCCAGCTCTACAACTAGTGAGACAACCTTTTGGCTCTCAAAGGTGTTCGTCTCACAGTGCTCTTTATATACAGTGAAGTGGGGCCACACATTCGGCCTTTGCTCCAGTTCGAGCTGGGCCTTTAGAAGAGTAAATGCTCTGAAAAATAACCACTGCTGAACTCTGGAGGAGTGAATAGTTGTTGAACAGTGCTGCGCTTTATAATATAATGAGACATATATGGGGCTTTTTCCAGTAATGAGGAGTGGATAAGCAATCATTTTTACTCAAACGAGTTTGAAAAAAAAAACAACCCATGCCTTATCTGAACCTGCATGCGTGTGTGTTCATTTGTCTTAATGTACCTGGCAGGATGTGTACGTGTGTATATGTATTAGTTGGTAGTTGAATACAGCTGACCCAGATGTGTTAAGTGGGTCATGGGAACATCGCAGCCCACACACTGGGGGTTATGGATAGGCAACAGCCTTGTGGTTTGTGTGTGTAAGTGTGTGTAGATGGGGTTAGGACACTGGGGCAGTGCCCTGATTATACTCAGATTAGATTTGGGAATTCATCGCCCCTCCTTCTGAGCTTTACCCCCAACTCTGTCTCCTATTACTTTTTCTCTCTTTCTCTTTGTCTTCCTCACTTTCTGTTCCTTTGCTGTAACCTCTGGGCATCCAGAGGGGTTTGTTTAAGACACATGCTAAATAATCACATTTTGGGAAATTAGAAGATGTAACATTTCGAATGAAGTCTCTTATATTTTGACATTGCAGTTTTTCCTGTTAAAATCCTTTCTGTTTGGGTGTTTCAATCAGATGAAAATGCTATAAAAAGATTTAAGGTTAGGGTAGGTTTATGTTATGTATCCTAAACAATTAACAATGTTAAGAAGTTGTTTTTCCTTATAGCAGTTGTACAAGGTGTAAATGTGAGGACCAATGGTTTTCTTTCTGTGTTAGCCAGGGTTTACCCTGTCTCTCACCCTATACCAGCTGAGATAGGCTCCACCACCCCAATAGATGGATGGATGGTTGCAAGGTTGCATGGATGACAATTTTACAAGGCGTAAAAAAAAAAAAGGTTTTGAGAATCTTTGGAAATCTTGATTTCCCATTCAAGAGCCTCATCTTGTACACTTCTATACATGAACATTTTCATGGTGGCTGCTATTTTTTGATCACTTTGCAGAAGTACTTTGTTACTTGTACCTCCGCAATGTGTTTCTGGAAATGCTCCAGTGTCTGAAAAAGGTGACGCTTCAACTTGATTTACATTTTAGGAACCGAACAAGGTCCCAACAAGGCAAATATGACAAGTACAGCAGGCTGGAAATAAAGTTTGTGTTGGTGCAGGGAAAAAAAACTGAATTTTCAGCTCGCTCTGTGCTGGCACAGGATGGTAGTCTGGCACATATCACACGTGTGGTCAATTCTGAATGACAGAATGCTCCTGGTTTCTCTCTGCGCCTGAAACTCTGTTTCCCGGCTTGGAAAGGGTGGACTCTTCAACTGTCAACTGCATGGTCATAGCAGGAGACCCAGCTTTGAATCAGCTATGATGCTTTACACAAAATTAATGTCAGGATGAAAGAGAATTTAATCTTTGCTGGCTGCACAAGTTTGAGGTTTTCTTTCTACTCTATTTTTCTGTATCCCTTTCTTGTGCTAATGTTTTGGGCTATGAGGTTGTTTTTTAATGCTTTTTGTAAAGTGCAAATTCCTTCAAAACCCAACTGAAGGTCTTTTTGTAAGTCTCCACAACTGTGTCAGTTTACTATCGCAAGTTAGAGAACATATACTATATGGACCAAAGTACTGGGCCACCTACACATTACACCTAAAGGAGCTGCTAGAAATCCATGCCATAGAGCTTCTGATGCACGTTTTCTGTTCTTATCCTAGGTTTGAAACTTTAGAGTTAGTGACTCTCGGAATGTCTGGGAATACGTGCTTCTTTTGCGGTGGAGGAACACCAAAGTAATTGCTTACGGAGCTTGCTTCGTTGACATCTTTAAGAGTTCTGAATAAATGTCTGTCCTCCTCCAGAACAACTTATGTATGCAAACGCGCGTTGCAACTTCTTATCTGGTGCGCGTCTTTTATTTTGATAGCGAATGTGCACCTGCGGACCACTTATGTGCAGCCCTGGTTATAAATCCTTACCCTAGGTTGGAGGTTAGGGTTAGGGTTGGGATAATACCACAACACCAACAGCAACTTTGGTGAAAACCAGCCTAAGAACTCTTCTTAACCATCTCCACAGAGAATGTACTTGACTGCATGTTGAAGGCCAAGTGGTGGGAGATGAAATGGGATCTTTGATGACAAATATAAGTTAATGAGCAGTACATAGGTTTTTCAGTTCCGGGAACAATCAGTATTTTACTGTCCCCTTCTTGTCCTTCCATGGGAAAAAAATAAATAAAATAAAACTAATGTCTATATCTGAACTCGTCAAAAACAGATGTCTGCTCTAATGTGAAGTACCATACCTTCTTATGAAGGAAACATGTTGAGTTTGTAACAAAGTGAAACTGGAGCCAAAATGTAGCAATTTTTCAAGTATTTTTGTTTTTATTATAGGAAGAAGTGTGGTGTCTGTCAACCTAGTCTGGTCTCATGGCCAAATAAATTGACGTGTACATGGACATGATTTACAGTGCAACTTCTCTGTTTGTGTCTTTGTATCTCTACACCGTGATGTAAGTGCATAAGGATTGTCTTTTTTTTGTTTTTGTTTTTTTTTACATTAAAGTCCTTTTATTACTGTTTTTCAAACCTACCTTGAAAGCCTGCACCAGGATGTTTTATGCCAATTTTCTTTTTCTTTTTTTTTGCCATGTTTTATAATTTATTTTATTGTCAGCTTTAAAGTGAAAATAATTTTTCAATTTGAAGAAAATTTGCTTTCTGCACCACATATGTTTCTCAGAATTCTCTAAAGAATTCTCAAATTCTTGACCTGGCAGCCAAGAAAACAGAGCTTTGAAAAGCTGACAGGTGTATTTTAGTCCTAACTATCTTTTTCTAAATCTAACTAAATAGTTAGATAATGAATAACAATTAAAGTAAGAGGTGAAAGGAAATGCGAGTAATCCATAAGAAAGGGTACGACTAATGGGTTCCCAGTTAGACTTGATCAGTGTTCGTTGATATGTGTAGTCATTGCACCTTCACTACCCACCTAGCCTCAAAATATGTGAGTTTTTCACCCTCACACTTGAAAAAATATATCTGCTGTGATACTGTGTCATGCCACCATGTCTACCTGATTAGTAACTGGATTTGCTCATGTCTGTTCCTGGTGTTTTTCTGATTGTGTCCCCAGTGTGAGTGGAAATGGGGCATGCAGGCATGGCGGGAGTGCTGGGAGGAGAGAAAGCAGCCAGGGTGGCACGTTGACTGGAGGATCGCCAACCGCTCTCAAACAGGTAGGAATCCATGCCAACTCTGCCTCCCTACCCCCCCCCCGGCCCCCCTCAGTACGTCTGTCTGAATCAGTGGCCGTCATGCTCGCTGACATTCAAACTTTGTTACCTGCTGTAAAGATTTACAGCTTTGTTTCCATTACTTTATCTGTCACCGCTTCAGTGGTGAATATGACACAGTAGATCTCTTGTTAGCGGATATGGAGCTTATAACCTCAGCGTATGTCAGGCTATGTGCTATTTTAATCATCAACTTTTTTTAAGATTCACCTAGTAGCAGTTTGTGTTTATAATGCAAATACACTGGGTTACTTCAATAGACTGAAGACAGCTTAAAAATGCATAGATTTTCAGGCAAGCTATGAATTGAAATATCCCTCCATCCATTTTCTGCTGCTATGTGGGTCCAGGTCACAGGGGTCAAAGTAGAGATTCAGATTCAGTTTTGTCCCTGGCCACCGTCTAGTATAGATCGTATGCAGCAACACCGAGGTGTTCACAAACCAGCAAAGAGACATAATCTTTCCAGTGTCTCCTCTTAGTAGAAAATGCCTGAAACACATCCTCCTCAAAGCGGAGGAGTAGCAGCTCTACACCAAGTCCCTGCTCAATGCCTGAGGTCACTCTATCTCAAAGGTTGAGCCCAGACACCCTATGGATGAAGCTCAGCACTTGTTTGCATGATAGAGATCAGGCTGTGGTCAGCGAGGTAGGCCCTGGTGCTCAGTTGCCCTGCTGGAATTACTCATATTTAAGCGTTCATTCTATAACACCGTCTATAAAACAGCTACCCACTGCACTCATGGTGTCACAGCTTTGTTATTTTAACATAACAGGAAGCATACACATAAGACAACATGCTGTTTTAACAAAACATAAAGTACAACTGAAGTATTAGATCCTTTTGAGGTTTTGAGACTTCTACACCATCAGTGTGATTTTTTTCCCCTTGAAAAACCCAAATAAATTGCACAATAATTTTTTTAAGCAACACATTTAAAAAGGACGAGATAATCAACAGTGGCACCATAAAGACGCAACTTAATATTTTTACAGAATAAAAAATATATATTTTGAAGTTAATGTTCATTATACTAAGAAATTTTCAGAAACATTTTTTCTAAAAACAACAACAACAACAAAAGCAAAACAAAATAAAATAAAATAAAAAAAAACCAAGTATGCTTGCTCCTGACAGGACCATTAAGAAAGGTTTACCTACTCCATATAAAAGCTGGTGAATTGCTTTTCTTTTTGGCTTTATTGTAGATGATGTTCTGAAAGCAAAAGGTTCTTTCAGGAAATGATGAAAAAAGTAAGAAAAATATTAGAATCTTTTTAAAGTTGTTTTTATGTGAACCTACCCTAAGAGTTATATCTACTGTGTAAATGCTATTAGCTAAAAGATGGCTATGTTGATAATGAGGCACCCCCTTTGAGCAGCATTTACTTGTTTTCATAAATGTGTTTAGTGTATAGTGCTCTCATTTAATGAGATCACATGATATCTAACAGGCGTCCAGACTGCCAAAGGACAGTGGCTGTAACTGGCTCTCAGACAGACTCTGAACATCAGGTGTTTAAATTCAACTGGTGTCAGCGTGTTAAACATGACTGCTAGGGCCAAACTGGCCCTCAGCTACACGCTCTGATGTTTATATAGCTCAGTCTGAGCCAAATGCATCCCTCCAACACACAGGTCAAAAGCTATGAACTCAGAGTGGACATTTGCCAGAGAACATGGAGAACATGGCCTGCCAATTGCTACAAGCCTGTGGCCAGACGGCTAGTGTGCAGAGTTCAGGAGCAGCCAAGTGGTGTCCAGTGAGGGATACCCTGGTTTACTGTTGGCCAAACAACGCCTCCAGGCTGGCTGGACTGACTCAACATGACTGGTTTCTGTGTAGACAGAGTGAGGAAATACGCCTGTCCACTGTGGGTTTGCTTTGCTGTTTACTGCTTAGAGATGTTGATTACAATTCTGGGTTGATTATGTTTCTCCTTAAACATGCCAGCAGTGTGTGACTTGTTACCTTATAGAAATTACAAACATTTAAAAGTATTCTCCTCGATAACAGTGTTACCTACTCAGAAAAAGTAACTGGTAAAGATAAGTTTGTGTGATCAAAAATAAACGTTTTGCTTTGCAAATGTCAATTATAGTTTGCTTCAAGTTGACCCCAAATGGTTTATATCCTTAAAGAAAGTGACTGACTACTAATATACTGCAGTAGATTATTATATTATATGTTACATAAGTTATCCATCTATTTAAAATGCAGAAACTATTTTTTTCTGACTGTTTTATTCTTTTTTTCAACAAATATTGAGAACATCCTCACAGTTTAGATGTGACTGAAACTGAAAGAGGCCCAGTCCCAGTCCCCATCCCTGGCTCTCTGGGTGGTCACTGCCTCTTTTTGGCATGGCTCTGCTTGGTACACATCCAGACTCCTTGAGGTAAAATGGGACACTGACGCACTGGCTGTGCAGTGGCTAACATCTCTCCTAGCCTCAGCAAGCAGTCCAGGTGCCACTAGTCTAAACACACATAAACAGACGGTATAGCTTCACAGGTTCAGGATAGCCAAAGCTGGATCTAAGGCCAAGTCCACTTAAAGGCCATGGGAGGATAAACGCACACTTTGGCCAAACACACACACACACACACACACACACACACACACACACACACACACACACACACACGTGCATAGCCAAAACCAACCTCAGCCACTCTGTGGCCAAAGGCATTTAGAGCACAGTCCCACTCAGTAGGGAATCCCAATGTTTGGCTATCCATCTCTCTTGGTAAAATCTATCTGAGAGGGAAAAGAGGGGGAGAGGGAGCAAAGAGGGTTTGAGTTAAGAAAAGCTGGACAATCAAATATTGCAGTGTTTAACACTTCATTTTCAATCCCTGCCGATTCCATTTCCCGCCAGCGTTAATTGCCGCTGTGCTACCTGCCACCAGTGGTTCTTTATGAAATGATTTCTGAATTGAAGCATATGGACGAGGAGCCGCAACGGGAGCCATGAATGGCTTGAGGAAGGGTCCCATTAAATAAGAGCCAGCTAATTACTTTGTCCTCCCTTTTTGTCCTGCACTATCCAGGCTCTCGCCGCTGTTCATATATCTTACTGTAATGAGTAAAGCCAGGGCCTGGCACCTGTGCTCGGTAATTAAACATATAAATTCTCCCCTCACGGAAATATGTGTACTCACCAGGACTGATTTATAAAGGTCTCTAAATTGCACAGTTGAGCTTATTTTCTTGCCTGTTATTTTTTTTTCTTTTAAAGGGTCTGGAAGGATGCGAGTTATTCATCAGATCAAGCTTGATCTTAAAAAAACAAAAACAAAAAAACCCTGCAACATGTCTTCTCTAAGATTTCAGCTTCCCCTCTTTCCACTGTTACTTTTCTTTTGTAGGTGAAGGTGGTGATACTGGGACTGTCAGGCAGACCTTTTGGAATCAGAAATGTTAGCTTTTCCAACCTCACAGCCTCATAGCCAAGAACACCAATGAAAAATGTCCATATAAAAACATACTGTGATCAGAAACGGATCCAACCAAAATAGGTTTATGACTCATTTACGAACCCCCTGCTCAAAAGTTACTTATACTGTACTTTATGACAGACAGAAAGCCATGAAATTGCCAGTTTTCACCTCATATTCCCTTCCTGCATTCTCTTTTAAGGCCTTGTTTTGCACTTACATATTTGTCCATTATAGATGAGCATTTGTGTGTTAAGGTAGCTGTTAAATGATTTTCATTTCTTTCACTGCATTAAAATAAAATAAAAAATCCTCAGGTTCAAAATAAGTCCAATCTTCACAGTTTTATGATGCATTTGCTTATATTCAGTTAAACTTATAAAGCTGTAACCATTTACAGATACAAAAACTGTTTTTTTCTTTTCTCTTGTTCTACAAAAATCAGGGGTTCAGTTCAACAGTAGAACCCAACTTTACGGAGCCCCCCAGGGGACATGGGAGAAAAAAAAATTGGGGAGGAAAAAAAAAAAATTAGGGAGGAAAAAAAAAATAAGACGGACTTTTGCGAGATCTCGCAAAAGTATTGCGAGCGCTCGCAAAAGTATTGCGAGATCTCGCAATAAGTATTGCGAGCGCTCGCAAAAGTATTGCGAGATCTCGCAAAACTCCAACAATGGCGGCAGCTACTTAGTTGTAATATTACTCTTTCTGGGTCACAAAATACACTTTTAAGATATTTTGAGGCGTGAATGTAGTTGTGTAAACGTCAGATACCTGCTCGGTTTACAAGACATCACATATTTGCAAAAGAGCTCCGACGTTTTTGGAGATCTGACACCCACTAGCTCGAAGCTAACGGGAGGTCGAGACCTACTACAGCCGGGAGGAACACCGCTTTCCCGGCACATCGTGCCTCGACCTCCCGGTCGGCTTCGAGCTGGCGGCCACTAGCTCGAAGCTAACGGGAAGTCGAGACCTACTACAGCCGGGAGGAACACCGCTTTCCCGGCACATCGTGCCTCGACCTCCCGGTCGGCTTCGAGCTGGCGGCCACTAGCTCGAAGCTAACGGGAAGTCGAGACCTACTACAGCCGGGAGGAACACCGCTTTCCCGGCACATCGTGCCTCGACCTCCCGGTCGGCTTCGAGCTGGCGGCCACTAGCTCGAAGCTAACGGGAGTCGAGACCTACTACAGCCGGGAGGAACACCGCTTTCCCGGCACATCGTGCCTCGACCTCCCGGTCGGCTTCGAGCTGGCGGCCTCCGAAGAATGCGGCTAAAACTTTTGCGAGATCTCGCAATACTTTTGCGAGCGCTCGCAATACTTATTGCGAGATCTCGCAATACTTTTGCGAGCGCTCGCAATACTTTTGCGAGATCTCGCAATACTTTTGCGAGCGCTCGCAATACTTTTGCGAGATCTCGCAAAAGTCAGTCTTATTTTTTTTTTTTCGTCCCTAATTTTTTTTTTTTACTCCCTAATTTTTTTTTTTTCCTCCC